CTTAAAATCATCAACAATTCAATTTCATGTGAAGTTTATATTATTGTTGACATCTTGCATGTGAAATTCTGAATTGTAATGATTTGTTGTGATTTGAAACTTTTTTATATGATTTATGAGGATTTTTAATAAAATAAAATGATTTACACGTATAAATTTTAAATACTTTTGAAAAAAGTTAATTATGATTTAATAATATATCTTTCAAAATAAAATTATTCTTAATATTAAGATGATTATTTATATTTGATACATATAAAGTAATATCAAATGAATTTATGGAAATAATTATATTAATATTTTATATCAAAATAATTACTAAAATAGGTAGTTATTCTTATCTTACTTTGAACGATATAAAAAATATGTTAGAAAAATTTCATGGATCCAAAAAAAATGAATGAAAAATTAACTTAATAGAAAATAAAAATTCACACATCTCAATAAATGATGCAACTCTAAAAAAATATATATTTCCAATGTTAAAATCATATTAATTTCTACACTATGACAGATTATTTTTTAGAATTATAATTACACACATAAAATTTATTTTTATAATAAAAAATATAAAAATATATTATAGCTATTTATTTATTTATTTATTTTTATTTATAAATTTAATTTGTTTACTTTATATATATCAAATTCATAAAAATATTTTTTATAATTTATTTACTTAAGTTTATTATACTTAATCTATAAATAATTTTTAAATAATTAATTATATATTATATTTTTGTATTGTGTCATAATTTTTAATTGAGTAAATTTAATAAAAAATTTATTTTATTTTCAATCAAAAATATTATGTTATATTGGTATGAAATAAAAATAAAAGAATAATATATATTTTTTATTATGATTTTAAGTAGTATATGATTTGAAATAGTATTAAAAAATATAAAATTTACACTTGTTCCGGTTTTCGGTGTCATTGATGCTTCAAATGAAATAAAAAAAGGCAAATACACTATGAGAAATAGTTGCTGGAAGGGAAAAGGTGCGCCATTTTATATAATAATAAATATTTTTTAAAAGTAATTTAAATTATAATTTCTATCAAATTTTTATAATGTATTATAGATGATTTATTTGAAAAAATTTAAAACACAATTTTACAGAAAAATTTCAAAATTAGTTTATTGAATTATGTTCTTGATTTTCAAAACATAATTTTGCAATAAATATGTTAAAATAACTTACTTCTAATATTAATTATTTGATTATTATTATTCATAAAACTTATTTTTGATTTGTTTAGGTGATTGTCTCTGATATCTTTAATAATAAATATGAAAATTTTTTGTGGCTGCAAGACAACTCCTTTCTAGTCAAAAAAATTGAATGGAATGTAATTAAATGACTATTCTTTAAATCAAAGAAACTTTTAATCCCATGATATTTTATACAAAAATCAAAATTCAAATATTCAAGAATTCAAAGATCTATTATCAACGGAAAAATTATTAATTAGGAGATGTTATTTATTAGAGTAAACTTGCAAACATTAATAACTTACACCTTTTCAACTTAAAAATCCCACACTAATTGCCCCCTTCGAATTTCTTTCTCCATATATACTTCATAAGACCATCCAGAAGACTAAAACTAAATGAATTTTTTAAAGTAATTTATCATGAAAATGTATTTCCACATCTTTCAATTACTTTATCTTATTCGTACTTAAATTATACTACTTCAAGGATGAAATATCTGTTTTGATTTGTATATCTTATGTTTTATTATTATTAAGTTTCAGTGATATAATCTATTCATTGATTCTTGAATGTGACACACACAATTTTTTTAAGAGGGAACACTGAAAAAGTGTGTCCATTATATAGATAGCAGTTTCAATAAATATGTACAATTACACGCATGTTGTCCTGTTGTAGTTCTGGGCACCTAAATATGCTAGTTAGCAACTTTTGCCAGTTGAAGTGTACCATTTATACTGAAAATCTACTCTACTAAATTCTACCCATAGATACCAGAGAGTGGAATTCTACCAATTCAACATAACATGTTATTGTCTGTTTTTAATTTACTGTGTAGTTTTGCGCAGTAGTTTCTTGTCGTCAAAATCTTTAAGCTGCCCCGCTCGTGCAAAAGATTGCTAGAATACCTTAATTGCAGCACACTAGAGAATTTATCGTGGGTCGAGCTACAGTTTGGTGGCTTGACCACATAAGCCTAAGCGCCACTGGGTCCTGGGCCAACAATTTCACTTGGAGGTGAAACAGCACTGGCTGCATTCGCCTTCTCATAATCTTCCTTTTTACGGTGCAGGATATCTTCCAACTTACCCAACAACCTCTGCCATGACAGACAGAACGTAATAAGAATAGATTCTGTATACAAACGGTGCTCCGCTGTAGGTAATAACTTCAACACTTCTCCAAAACAGGACATCTACTCCCACGAACTAACGCAGATTGCTTGTTCTTTTCATAAGAGTATTACTAAGGTTTCAACTTCATCAATTGGGGGTCTCAAGAAACTCAAATGATAGCTTGCATACTATACGAATACAAGATTCTTTCAAACCCCTGAACTTATAGTTTTCCTGCTTCAATTTGGGCAAAGAGCAATTTCTTGGCTTGAATGATACTTCATCTCCGGTCGGCTAGGGTAAGTTAGGTATTTACTGCTCTCACAGTGCCTCCAAAGATTCAGTAAGCATCTTTTCTCCATTTCTTCTCTAAGTAGTCACTTTCTCCTCAGGATGCAAACTCTAAGCTCTCGGGGCTGTCTCAGATGTGCGGCTCAAAGAGAATTTCAAGAACGGACACCTACAACGACGGTTTATCAAACCAGGTCCTACAGCTTGAAAGCCAAGACGTACCTAGCTTTGCAAGCTTCAGACCTCAATAGATGGCCTCTTAAATAATTTAAGAGCCTTATTGAATGCTGACTGGGTGATTTTCCGTGTCAACCCTTTAGGCAAGGTGAATCGAAATCTGGCCTGCGGAAAATTGAGTGGTCATTATGATCAACTCGTTCCGTAGTGTAGTGGAGTATTGAGTTGCTTACAAACCAACGTTTGCAAGAAACTGATCGAAATTGTCGATCTACTTGACTATCATCAAGCAGTTCGAAAAAAAAAATCTTCATTATGATCTCGATATACGAGACTTCATCAAACAAAGCTTATCAAACTCAAAGGCAGGTAATACCAGAAAAATTAAAGTTATAGTTGCGCATTTGTGTTCACAAATGCGCAACTATAACTATGTTTTTGCAGTGATTATTTTTTCACATACATGGCTCGTTCCTTAAGACGTGGAGATATGAAAAACACTCAGCTTAAGGTACTTTCAAATGGACAGCATTCGTCTTCGATACAAACCTTGAACTGGTCACGATTTATGGAAACAACTTTGCATTTTGTCAAAGCGGTAATTGTAGCAGCACGAGGAGCATCATTGAGCAGTGCCAGCTCCCCAAAATAGTCTCCACGTTTATAACGCATCATAACCTTTCCTTGTGTCCTTGCTTCTGCTTCTCCCTACAGATAGTGATCGTGTACATGAAGTCAATTTGGAGTAAGGACTCTAACAACCTAAGATTTTAGAATTAAAATTTAGTACAAAAATATGAAAGAAAAATCTACCAAGTCATATAAGACAATTACAAGGGTGCCAAAAGCACAATCACAAGCATCCAAGCAAAAAACCCTCAAGAGAGACTAAACAAAAAAAACCGATTTTAACTAGCAAGCAAAGTGGAGAGAGAAAAACCATCGTCATCAGAGACAAGACTACTGAAACAAGATCTGGTGTTTCCTTTTAGACACCATATCTTCTTTTTCCCTTAAGTTCGCGATATTTCAGGGTAATATCGAGAACTTACAGAATTAAGCATATGAATGAGAACCATCCGATGGCTGCTGAAGAAAATCGACTTTATATCATAACGCTATTTAATAAGAATCTACAAAACATGTATATGTCTCCGTTATATCGTCAATGTCACACACAGCAATATTCATCCAAGACTATGAACGCTTATCAAGTATCAAATGCAAGCCATTGGGGTCATTGGTTAACCTTTAATACTCATATCACGAACGCGGTTTCACAATAACTTTGTCCTAAAATCTCTGAAATTTTTCTCAGAATATAACATAGCGTCGTTTGTCAAACCACGAAAGTAGGACCAATCAGTGAGAAAAAATAGAAATGATTTGATCAAAGAATGCAATGAATGACCTGGGCAACCGGTCCAGAATTGGTAGAGAAGCACGTGGGCCGAATGTTTAAAAAATAATTTTAGCTAGTTCTTGTATACAATCCTGGGGCCCTGCGATATCGCAAACTATGGAAGGCTCTTCAAAACAAAGTGGAGCACAATTGTTGAAAACAGGATATTGTTAATAAAATCTCAAACACATAAAAAACTCAAGTATTGAAAGCCAAATTGGCCATGAGAAACCCATACCAACAAGAAATAGAGATCAAACGTAATCGCAGTAAATGAATTATATATTAGAATAAAGATATTTATCACTAGTATGATATGGAATTGATTTGTTTCGATGAAACTTGTACCTGTTCAATCATATAAAACTTATCTCCCTTCGCTCCCTCAACTATAATTGTTTGCTGGGGAGAAAAATATTCCGGTTCCAAAACATCCGCAATGGAAGATCTCTCATACTTGTCAAGAGTCTGCAAGCAAGAAGAATATTTTTCAAACAACTTTCGGTTGCCGAGGGTTTCTCGTGACTATGTAGTTCCATGAATATTTTTTATGTCTGTATGGAGCAATTGATACTTGAGTTTAAGAGGACCCTCATGTTTCTGCATATCCCCATGGCACTAATGATTCAAACTAAAGGAGCCTCTGGACCTGTAGTCATGAGGATGGACTCAAAGAGGAATCTGAGAGCTTGGTGCTTGTCCTCCGCTAATTCTTTGGAGTGTCAGGACAGATTACAAAAGTCTTTGACTTCCTCAGTCACCCGTCATTGAATTCATGACCTGATGAGGTCAAAACGATTAGGGTGTTGACAGTGGGATTCGAACCCACGCCCTTTCGGACCAGAACCTTAATCTGGCGCCTTAGACCAACTCGGCCATATCAACTTGATGTCAGCGATGAAGAAAATACACTACTAGTACATAGAAATTTTTTACAAAACAAATAGTACACCAGAACAGAGAACTCACGCTCAGGAGAGGAACGTCTTTCAAGAACTTCTCATACAGATTTCTCTTCTCGTGAGTTGTCGTCATGAGAATAGCCCTGAAAGTTGACCTGTCCATAGCCCACAGCACGCAATCAGTCGTGGCCTGCATCCAACACACCAGAGCGATTTGACTTAGCTGGCTTGAACCCTTCTGCTGGTTACATAAGCCAACCGGATTGGACTTTATAGAGGAATTGACCTTCACAGAGGCGGCTCGAGGAGCGTTATACAAGAGAGCAAGCTCTCCAAATGTGTCCCCTGAAGAGTACTGTTTCACCACCTCTGCCTTTTTTGCTCCTGGCTTCGTAATCCAAACTTCAGCAGCTCCTTGCTGTCAAAAGCTTACACAGTTACAGCTTATGAGAGAGCCTTGCATACGTACCGTTAGAAGAATATGGCTGCGAATCTATGCATTGATGATCTATATACTATCCGCTCACAACAGGATGTTCATATACTTCTAGGAGTCTCTTGAACATGATAAATAAGACTCCGTAGGAGGCTCTACCTCCGATTGATCCAAGTTCTAGTTTCTTATTCGTAAACCCTAAGTTTATGATAATGATTTCCCTCCATCCACTTACTCTTAAATAGAGAGATAAGAGATCCACAAGGGTGCTGCACCTCTAGGAGATAAAAAAACTCGCCAGGATCTCCTTGATGGATGATTACATCCCCTTCGTTGAAACGAACTTCTTCCACTGCTTCGACCATCTGTTGCACAAACTCCAAGAAACGGTCTTTTTCAAATCCTTACGTGTACACTTAAAATAATAAGCCAGAAACTGTGAAAACTGGGCCCCAGAAATTCAGAGAGTAAATAGATTCTGACAGTTTAGGTAGTAGGATCTTTGAAATATATCAAATATATCTGCAATTAAAAAACAGTCAAGCTCAAACAGAAGCATCCTACCCTTTGTGATTGTTCCTGGTCGAGATGTTGAAGAAGGTAGTTCTTTGCAAAGAAGTTGCGAATTCGTTTTCTGGCGTCTTCACTCTTATCCACCACCTGTGCTTCGGCAAAGTATTTCACGCGTCAAACTTTATATTTACAGATATGATAGTAAATGATCAGCCGCTGGGGCTTAGCATGCAAGAGACAGAAGTAACTCAAATCTACGTGTTACGTCTCAAAGGCGCCAACATTATATACTAGATGGAAAGCAACAAGAATACGGTGATAGAAAAACTGGGACCTGTCATGCATGAACTGAAGTTGTTAGCTAATGAAAGACAAATGAATGCGTAAGTAGAAGAAGCCGAGTAGCAGCAGAAAGGTGGAATGCAGCGAGGAGACCTGCTGTCGTATTGACAGTGGTGGGAGAACTAAGTTTGCAGTATGAAGGAACCAGTCCGACGCAATAAAGTCCTCCCTTGACCATCAAAAATATTTGAACGGGAAGCGTCAAGTTCCCGTCACGTAGTCTCAGCTGCTTCATTAGTGCACAGGTTTCTGCACTGAACCGCGCGGGGGCTGAGGATAACTCAAACCCAACAAACCAAGGTGAAATCGATGGTTGTTGCCCGGACCCATGTGACATATTGCCTAGCAAGAACGCCCTATGAGCAAGAGCAGAATAGCAAGAGGAAAAAACACAACGCCAGAGAACTGAAAGAATTGTCATTCGACTGGAAACAATTGTGAATGAAGAACAAAATAACACAAAACTGAAGTGAAAACAACCATGAATGAAACCCAGAACAGCGGTATTTCACTATAAACGGCATTCAGAAAAACTGGAAGCGATGTAATCATCATATATAGATCGGCCAGGAAATATATTTACAGAATATCATTCTTGGCAGAAACAATGACTAACTCTGAAAATCAGTGGCCTGTTTGTCCCAGTTACTGAACCGTTTGAATGTCATTTATTACTAGAACAGGAAAAGTAATACAAAGCTCGGGCTTTATATTTGGCCATAAAGCTTACAGGCCCGAGAGATATCACATTCTATCCGCATTCACACAATTGCAGAATGTTACAGATCGACAGGATGTGTAATGTATTATCTGGATGCCAACACGAGTCGCGAGAGCAACTGGAGAGCGAACCTTAACCTCCAGTGACGGCGAGGAGGGGAAGGTAAAAGAGACAATGTCAATTCATACTAGTGATCTCAGACAAGTATTTAAGAATAGGACATACAACTCGTAACAAAATGCTCATGAGAGTAGCAGGTGCGAAAGCTAAATTCTCTGTCAGCCACAACATAAGGACGGGTCTCCCACTGTTCATAGTCTGGGTCAAATTTGTAGAAGGTAAATGCAAACCTAAACGAATACGACCTTTGCAGTTCTACAAAGCCTGAGTCCTTGCCTTTGTTTCGACTTTTTCCGTCACAGTTAATACTTCTGAACTGACACCGGTTCGTCGAAAAGAGAGAGTCTTGCTCCTCTGCCTTTGCTTCTGCATTCAGTCACATATACGTCAGAGAAATTTGGAATTCCGGTTGACGGCGAAAAATTAACAAGAGTACATCAGTTACTTGTTGATGCTGCAAGAAAGTGCGGGCAATGCAGCTGCAGCTCCCCGGCGGAAAACGGGAGGAAAAGTAAAGCCAACGCAGAATTTCAAAAGGATCGTAGGTCGGCGCAGAATTTATTTAAACTTTGCACATTGAATCGAAAAATCTAGAGCACAATTCTCCTCGGCAAACCAGCGGATACTCAAAGACACCGCTGACAGGTGTCTCTCTTCACATTTATTTCTTCATTGGGTGGCTAGTGCGCGTCTACAAAGGTTGGGTCAATCTTCGGCAACTTTTCAAAGTTATTCAGCACATCAGATTTCGCGGCCACAATGCTTGTCCCTTCTCTTCAATATGTAGATCAAACAGCGGCAATATGTTCTGATCTGCTTCAAGTCTTAGCTCCCAAGAAAGTTGCTTAGACGCAAAAGGGTAGGAGAATACGAAGTCGAGAGAATGAGGGAACTTAACGAGAGCAACATTTGGCGGAGGTCCCGAAATGCTCTTGGCCTTTTGTTTTAGCTTGATATCAGCCATGCCAACCATGATGTCACGACCGCTCGACGAAGCCATTACAGAGTGTCGGCTCAGTGTTTACACTCACACGATGTCCTTCAACACGCAATGACACCAGAAGCCTTGCAAAAATTTTGACAGCAGTGTGCCGAGATTTGGGAATTTCGATTCCACCAGAGTCGAAACCCCAAAGAATCCATCTTAGAAATACCTCACAAACCTCTCGAGCTTTGGTTGGATCCGTATTATCAGGATAGAAAGTGAAGAATTGTAACACAAGCGGCAGAGATATCGAAGGTTGGAGAATGTGAGGCGGTTGATCAAAGAGGCGTCCATGCCCTTTCCTTGCCTTCCACCATCTTGCTTCCGATATTCCTGATAGCACTCCAGTGTCTTCTGGACGGTAATCAGGAATGCAAGCTAAATTGCAGTAGTCTTTGTCCCCCATGAAGGTGCTAAAGCATGGACAGTGCACGTGGACTATAAGTGTAAATACATTGCGGACTAAATGAGAGAATAAAGTAAAGCTGAGAATGCGATTTCAACACATTCTTCTGACATTCCTGGTCTCAATTGTGGTACATTTAGTCTTCTACTCTGTGCTAAAAAGTTGAGGGTGTTGCACATGCCGTTTTCGACTCGCCACATTCTTTCAGTCGTCAAGAACACAGCGTGCGTATCTTGAACTTGAGGAGCAAAAAACTATTTCCTGTAACTACAGGGTGATTATGTTTGCGAGTACAGTACTGCCTACAACGATCTGAATCCCCACTTCCTACGACTCCAAGAAGCAAAGAACCTCATTTTCTTTGCTTCTTGGGATTGGTGGGACTCGAAACAAAACAATGTCCTCGTGTTTGTCCTTTTTTCAAATTAACCCGTGCCACTCGGAGCAGCATCAGAGTCATATAGTAATACAGCACACGAATTTCCATTCCTGCATCCTTCGACAAACAGGGCAGGTATGAATTTCTAGAAAATGCCGGACGATCTCGCGCCTTTGCCACTGCGAGGTTTAAAGGTCCAAAAAGGCAAGGAAAGCAGAGTGCAGCTGAAGTCCTCAAGATTGCGTCATTGCCGCGGAGAGAAACGGGAGCTGTCATGCAGACGAGGAGAGGAGCGGCAACAGACAACTCACGCCTAATTGATAGTCCGCAGGTTCAGCATCTGTCCCCAACAGAAAAGAAGAAAGACGAAGTAAAATATCAAAAGGGATGGGAATACCCCATCAAATCGTACAAGGAAGGAACCAAACCGGTAACATGGGGCTAGGCCCCAATAGTATCAATGGGAAATATGTCCTACAGCACCTAGTATATATGAACTATCCAAGTCAAAAGGTATACAAACAACATAGCATCCCAAGAAGCATCTCCTATGGATTGCACCGGCTAGTGCTCTCTGTAGAGCAATGGAAACACGTTGCCTAAAATAGGCTATACAGTAAGCTAAAGAGAATGATACCCCATGTCGCCTAGTATGGTAGGCTCTCGCGCACTCCCTCACAAACATGTCGAAGTCGGTGTCCATAGCTCCATATAACTCCAAAGCTAGAGGAACAAAGAGGTGACCTCTCTGCATACCTCTATACTTGGAGACCTTGGCTGTTGCCGCTCCACTCGCCGCCCATCCTGGAGGATGGGTGATCACCCCCTCTGAAACTGTGTTTAGTTTCTGTCCCCAACATACTTCTTCACATTGTCGTGTGTGCACTTTGCATAAAGAAAAACCATAACGCGTCCCCAATTTCTCAAGTACGATAGTTGTGTAGCTTTTCTTGTGAGATAACCAGGCCAAGTAAAATAAAAAGGATGGGAAGACCCCATCAGTCTGAACCCTTTAAGACACCTACAAGGATGAACCCAAACGGTTAACATGGGGCTAGGTTCCAATAGCATCACAATATGTA